CGACTTTCAGAGTTTTGTCTGTAGACATTATCTTTTCATATGCTGTGGACACGTACCAAGACTGTCCTGTACTGCTGACCTCTACAAGCTCTAAGCAGTGCCTCACAAACGGGCAGTGGTGTGAGGTAAGCCTTCCAGTGAAAATACAAGGGTCAAAGGCAATTTCTAGAAGAGTTTGAACTGCTCTTGAGTTTCAAATTGAGGGAACTGACAGATTCAGGTGGTGATGGTAAAGAAACAGGAAGTGCTGGGGGCCACTGTACTTCACCGCCCTCTCTCCTGTCCCCAAGCCCTGACCATCACATGGAACTGCTCCTGCAGACATAGGTTTAAAGACTGAATTAAGAGCAACATGATCAGATGGGGACTTAGCTGTCTGAAACAGGTCAGCTCACAGGGCTGGATCTGGGCCACATCTTCATCTGGCTCCTGGGTGCCACGGGAAGTGTACGTCTGGTGTGGTTCTTAGGACAGGCTGTAGCACCTGGTCCCTCTCTAAATGAGTGTCACCAGCCAGTAACTTGACTCAGAGAGAATACAGGTCCTGTGTAGGCCATGTGGAAGGCTAAGAAGCCTGAATGACATGGTGATTATCTTGGACGAGGGCCTCTGTCTTGGTAGCAGTGATCTTTATGCTCAAGGGACAAGTTGGACAAAGGCCTGGGTTGTTCACCGTGTGCTCTGTAGATGGTCATTCTTTCAGAGAAACCTCATATTTGTTCTCCATGCCTTGTGGGTATTTGGTCTGTCTTGTGAGGTTTTTAGCAGAAGAGTATTTATTTGTGCCTGGGCTGTGAAGAATCTTCTTTAAATGGCAGGTGTGGGGCAATCACTGCTTTTAAAATGATCTGGTAGATGAACAAGCCATCGTCATAACTAAAAATTTTATTTTCTCCTAGGTTTTGAATATAGCTCCCAATAATCACATGTGTGATGTTTTAGCACATGTATAATTTTATTTTTCTTAGTTTTCCTTTTTGTATTGAGACAGGGCCTCACACTGTTGCTCAGGTGGACTCACTGTGTAGTCTAGATTGGCCTTGAACTTGAAACAATTGTCCTATCCTAGTGTCCTGAGCCTGCTGGAATTTTAGGCATGGACCACCATGTACGGCCAAGTTAATTCATGAAACACTTGGTGATGACAGAGTGTAGCAAGTGAGGCTGTGGTACCCTGCAGGGTTACTATTTGCTGAGGGTCTTCTGTCTCAGTTATTTTTGTAAATAAAGCTCTTTAGTAAATTTTTATTTTATTTGCAAAACAGATGGATAAGACAGCACAGGGTTTTTTCTTTGATAAAATAAGATGTGTATATAAAATTTATTATTAAGGAAAATTCATTTTGCCATCAAAAATTCCATTTGCCTTCTTAAAACTGATGACCATCTACTTAAACAAGTTTGAGGGGCTCGTCTGATTCCTTGTCTCCCCATAAGATATCCAAACTATAAACACGTTATGTGACATTATGGCATTAAGTTTCTTTCATCCTTATACATGAGCAAAGGAATCCAGTTCTGTGTCTTGTGTCAACTGTTCTATACTGACATAAAACAGTAGATTTGACTAATATTTATTAAGAAATATAGATTTAATTTTTTATTAAGAATTATTTCAGCTCTGGGACAAGAAATTGCAAATACAAGGAGATTTAAAAGTATCCCTCTCCATGGCACTGCCATTATAAGCAATTACCAGAAATAGAATCCCCAGCATTTTGAACAGAGCTTCTTGCTTGCCTTCTACAAGATGGACTTTAATTTCCTGTTTGGAGTGACACATTGTATATATTATATTTCTGAAAAAGGAATGCCCAGTTAAAAAAGAATTATTTTTCTGTGAAATTTTTTTAAATAATAACTTTATGGAGACATAATTCATATACTGAAAATTTCATCATTTTCATGGGTGCCTAAGCTTTATTGGTTATTAATGTTTTCACAGAGTTGTCTAGTCATTGGTATCTGATTTCAGAACATTTTTATTGCCCAATAGAGGAACCCTGTGTCCATTAACCACCACCCCACACAGAGTCTCTGCTCCCACTTCTGGGGTGCCTGTGTTGTCTTTGTTCCTATGAATTTTTCCCATTCTGAACTCATGAGTAGGTAATACAGTAAGTGGCCTTTTGAGTCTAGCATTTTCCCTTACTATATTTTCAGGGTTCTGTCCATGTTGCTACATTATGAATATTTCATTCCCTGTTACTACTGAGCAATAGTTTCCTGTAGAGATATACTATACCTGTGTTGCTACGCTCTTCCTTGGGGAGACATCAGCAAGTGTCTGCTCAGCTCTTGATAGTGCACTTATGACAGAATGAAAAAAATAAGTCCAAGTCTAGCATGGTGAGTCAATGAGTTTAATTAGGGTTCTTACACTAGCACAAGTGAGGGATTACTTAGGGGAGCATGGTGGCTAGACCACCAAAATGTCCCAGTAATTGTCAATGGTCCCTGTATGCCTGGGAGGGGTGAGACCTCGTGCTTGGCATTGGCTCAGTCTTTTTTGTGTTTGGCCAGCAAGTGGAGTAGGATCCACCTCTAGCTATAATTTACATAAGAAAACCTCCTGTTCCTAAATCATACCTAAAATATATTTCCAAAGATGGATAGAGTAGATGGTAGAAATACAGGCCTCTGTATTTACCACTCACCCAGTTATGCCCACGATAAAATTATTTGCTCAGAGGAGCTAAAGCATAGAGGCTAGAATAGCTTAGGTTAGGGGACTCAGTTACCAATTACTAGTTCAATAATTTGGGTTTTTTTTCAATGTTGAGATGGTTTTTAATTATGAGACATACTAGAACAAATAACACTGACTGAGGGGTTGGAGCAACAGACATTTTATGACCTTACCATCTTGCAGGATGGAAGTCTGAGGTTTCAGTTGGAACTGGTTCTTCCACTGTCTTCTTTTGATTTGTGGAAATTGTCTGCTCGTTGAGTCTTCACATAGTCTTCCTTCTGTGCTAACCTGTGTCCCAACTTCCTCTCATTATAAGAACACCAATCAAACTGGATTAGGGTCTACCCTAAATGACTCATTTAACCTGGATTACCTATATTTAAATACAGCCATCTTCTAGAGTATTGGGGAATTAGGACTTCAGCATATGAATTGTGGGGAGAGAGATACAGTGCAGCCCACAACAATGTGGACAATAATAGTGTCTACCTTCTGGAGGATTTCTTAGGAATTTGAGATAGTATGTAGAAAGTCTTAAAGCAGCATCTGGGAGCAGAACCCTGGGGATGTTTTCTTACTTTTAGATTACTGTCATAAAGGACTGCTTGCTGCTAGGGTAATCTTCATTGTTGCAGCACCCACAAGTGCTCCTCCTGTCCCACTCCTGCAGCCGCTTTCTCCCCAGCTAGCTCGGCAGCACATGCCCATGTCTCTCCTCCCACCGGAACTGGATTTCATTTGCAGGCATTCAGCATGCGTGCTAAACAAGAACTGAGCTTTCTTTTGTGGTCATTTCATGATTCTTCTTTTTTTCTGAGAGACATTTTAGAAAGTTTTTTTCACATAAATTTTCAACAACTGCCTTGCCTCGGAACAAACCAAACTCATGTGCTAAAAGACTTTTGAGACCCCGTTTTTTAATTTGTTGAGACACAGGTTTCCTGTTCTGAACTTAGCGTTCTAGCTAGTCTTCCTCTTCTGGAATTTAAGAGTTCCACTAAAAGAGGAAACTCCTTTCCCTCAGGATCCTCATGTGGGGTTTTGGATCCATCACCCTGAGGCAAAACCAAATTTCTTTCCTCCAAAATGCTTCAGTTCTAATGTTCTCACCTCTTCCATTAGGATGCAGAACAAACTAGAGAATCCTTGCCTAGCAAAGGAGAATCACTGCCATGCCTGAAGGCAGTCTTCCAACACGCTTCCTTAAAGGTTTTCTCTGGAAATGAAGGAAAATCTAATAAAAAAATTGAGCTAATGTCAAAATAGTTATTAAAAGCAATGTTTAAACAGGTTGAGGGTTGAATAGGCCGAGGGCCTATGGCCACCATAGAGGCCACCTTCAGTTTCTGTGAAAGACATTTTTTTTTCTTTCTTTTTTTTGCTATTATTTAGACAGGGTCTTCCTGTAGCCCCAACTGGCCTGGAACTCACTATGTAGACCAGGATGACCTTGATCTCACAGAGATCCACCTGCCTCTGTCTCCCGAATGCTGGGACTAAAGACATGGGCCATCACACCTGGCAAGATATGTCTCTGCTTTCCCTTGAAGCACTGGGAGAGTTAAATACTGTTAAGCTGCACAATTAATTTTCTTTAAGGTATGTAACATTTTCTAAAGAACTCTGAAAACAATTGTTGCATTGGAAAAAAATGAATTTCACTTCTTATGTCATAACTTTCTTTCCCAGCAGAAATGTTAGGATAATGAGAAACAAAACTGTTTTGTTGTGAAGGAAAATACCAGCTTTACTTCATGCTATGCCAGCTTTCCATGGAAGGACATTAGCGATACCTCTTGACTTTACACACAGTGTATCTTTATGGTTTTAATTAGGTAAACTTGCTCTTTCTCTTTAAGCACTTTTTTTTTTTTTAAATTTACAGAGGTTAGCATGTGTCTGTACTACCAGGATGGAAACTGGAATATAAAAGAGCTGAATTGGCCTGTTCATATTCACTTTATGACTGTCACGTTTTCCCTTCTTAATTCACTCATTAGGCTGCATTCCAGAGTGCATTTGATTTGACTCCAGCAGCCACTGAATTCTGTGGTCTACCTGCTGGTCACATGCATCATTCTGGGTTCATGGAAACAAACATGTTGGATATGCTCCTGTCCTGTTTAGTGACATTTATCATCATCTAGGACCAGCTGCCTGACTTCTCTTCAGTGCCCTGTTTATGGGGTTTGAACATCTATAAATGGAAACACTAGCTAACCAGAAATTATCGCCAGGGCTTCTGATAGTGTCCCGGGCTCTTACAATGTGGAATGTCCAGCATTATCTAACTTGTAAGCACATCACAGCATTCTCTAGACAGAATCTGGACCTTGCTCTCTTCCTCACTCTCTTTCTTTCTCCCCCTCTCTCTCATTCTTTCAACATGGAATTTGAAAAGCATGAAAAAGGAAGCTTATTAAACAAGACCAAGACTTTAGAGGAGAAAGTGACGGTAAGACTGAGATTTTGTGTGCGCAGAGTTAAAATTTATTTGACAGGGTGAAAGGGCAGCTGTCACAGACTAGAAAGATGTGCTACCCTGTCCGTTTCCATGTTTTGCTGGTCAACAATCTTGGAATTAATGAGTTCTATGGCTTTCCTGAAATTAATATAATAAAGTTCTACATAAAGCTTCATGCCTAGAAAGTGGACAACCTTGTTGAATGACGTGGTTTCCTTCCATTTTCAAAACTAAGTTCCGTTTACTTTGAGCCTTTTTTGTGCTTGCTTTCTTGTTTCACTCGTTGAGATGAAGTGTAGCAAGTGTTCAAGTCCAATTTCTTACGCAGATACCAGGACTATGCACAGAGGAAAGTATTATAGAATATTTTGATGTTTTATGGAGTAAGTTTCATGAACTTCAGTTAAAGTTTATTCATTCTAAAAAGTAGGGTTTTTTGCTATAAAAATTATAAAAGTAGCTTGACCTTGATGCTCAGCTGTCGATTAACTGTAGTCACTTATACTTCCACAACACGAAGTATGTTATACTCAAGTGAAAGGTACTGCCTGTGAGTCACCTAGTCACACAGGTGACCAACATTGTAAATTTACTGTGGTACAGAACTAACATTAGAATCACGCAGGAATAATTTAGTAGCCACAGAGCAGCAAAAAGCTAAGCTACACTGACTGAAACTAAGGATTATATACTACTAATGATATTGAAAACTGGAAAATGGAACAAAAATATTCTGGTTTGAAAATTCCTAAAGCATATTAAAATCCTAAGTTCTTAAAAGTATTTTGGATAAAATATAATGTTTTCTTAAGGGACTTAAGCCGTCATTTGCAATATTAATCATGAACCTCTGTTTAGCATATAATGACCACAGACTGCTTTTTGACTTTGTTGAAAGGTTGAGTATTATGGACATGAGGTTTTGAATCAGAAATATCTGCATGAAAATTATTGCTACTCAGCTTCTAAATGGAAAACTGGAATTTTGTTCAACATTTTTGAATCCCCATTAACTTGCTTGTGAGATAGTAGTTGCCAGTTTGAAGGCTTTTGTGAAGAATAAAAATATAAAGTATGGGAAGATTGTTTTGACTTGATGTACCTAAAAAGCATGTTCCTCAAAGATATACACATACACAAACATATAGACATACAGTCACACAGAGACACACAGATGGAGACACATGCAGACACACACAGGCACAGATACAGACACAGAGACACAGATACACACACACACACAGACATAGAAAGAGAAAGTTGAAATGCGTTTCAAAGTCAAAGGAAAATTCAGATATGCTAAGTGTGGTGAAATCTTGTTAGAAACCAGGAGCAAATAAATAGGTGAATAGAGGAGTACTATGAATTAGTGTCAAATTTGACTCCTTTTTTACGTTATGAATTAGTGTAAAAAATTACAGGAAATTTTGGAAGTAAACCTGGTGGACCTGGGGCAAGTGCACAGTGTGAAAATGAGCTCTTATTATTTGAAATGACTTGATGTATTAGCATTTCACTTTCTGGAAGGTTACATATTTTGCATGCCCCATTCTACCTTGAGAACAGCTATAAATCTAAAAGTAAGCAAAAAAATGTCTCCTTAGAGGAAGCAGCTGTCACAAACTCATAAACAGTACTGTGCAGCGGAGGCCTAAGGCTAGTCTCTGATTGATTTCCAGAAGACTGGAGGATAATATGGCAGTAGACTAGAAAGCACAGAGCATCCAACTTGCACAGGAGAGAACGAACTCCCGAGAAATAGTATCTGAGGAAAACAGGTAGATAGGCAAGGGAGCTATTCACCTCAGACACCTTACAGCAACTCTGATGATACTGCAATCAAAAAGTTATTTTATGTTCAGTCTTTACTGTGTAAGAGACTTGTCTAAAAGAAATTTTAACAAAAACTGCAGGGCTGCTTCGTGGATAAGCATCCAAACACTTCGGTGTTTGACTCACTGTGTCCTTTGTCATATTAATAGAACAGTATGATTTGTTAGGCTGTGAAAAATCACTTAAAATACAGTTTTGTGGCGTTCACTATGTTCTGAAAATTATTCAGTATAATTTTTTTATAAATGGTGAAGTTCCTGAATTATCCTCTTTTAAAGTGGAGAGTATTTTGTCAGCAAAATATTCTAATATGTGTACATTATAATAGTATCATATTAAATTATGATTGTATTTACATTATTATTTAAATTAAGGTTGTATTTCTCAAACAGATTTTAATGAACAATGATGTATCACATTATAAACAACACACATAATTGGTTTCACTTAAAAATTCCAAGTTATTATCTGTATAAATAAATAAGCAAATTACCAGTATGCAGAATTTTAAGTCATGAGTTTATTCTACTTAGAAACAGGTAAAAATGAAGTGGCAGCTCTATCATCATCTATCATCTATCTAGCTATCTTTTAAAAAATATTTCTTTATCATTTTTATTTTATGTGTATGAGTGTATTGCCTGCATGTAGGTAAGTACACCCATATCGTGCAATGCCCAGGGAGGACAGAAGAGGCTGTTGGATCCCCTGGAACTGGAGTTTCGGACAGTTGTTAGCTGCTGTGTGGGTGTTGGGATTCAAACTCAGATCTTCTGCAAGAACAATCAGTGTTAACCTCTGAGCCATCTCTCCAGCCCCCATCAATCAATCAATCAATCAATCAATCAATCAATCAATCAATCAATCAATCAATCAATCAATCAATCAATCAATCAATCAATCAATCAATCAATCAATCAATCAATCAATCAATCAATCAATCAATCAATCAATCAATCAATCAATCAATCAATCAATCAATCAATCAATCAATCAATCAATCAATCAATCAATCAATCAATCAATCAATCAATCAATCAATCAATCAATCAATCAATCAATCAAGTGTGTGAGTGTGTCTGCGTGTCTGAATGTGTCTGTCTGTCTGTCTATCTATCTATCTTCTATCTATCTATGTATCTATCATCTATCTATCATCTATCTATCTATCTATTATCTATCACCCATCATCATCTATCTTTCTATCATCTATCTATATCCAGTAGAAATCTTACCATCCTTGGTGAATGAACATATAGTACTCTCTTCTGCTTGTGTGTCAGTTCATTCCAGTTTGCCTGGTTAACCAGCTGACTCTGGGAATCTCTTGCTTCTGCTTCCTGGGTTATAGGCAGCTACCACTCTTGCCTGGATTTATGCTGCGAATCTGAACTCTGTTCCTCATATTTTCATGGCAAGCGCATTATCCACTGCTCATCCTGGTCCCCATCTACTTTTAAACATTGGCTTTTCTTTTTTCCCTTTGTTGCTGTTTGGTAATTATTAAGATTCCTTGGTGCTTACTAATGAAAGTTGTTTGTTTTTATCTAATCACCAAAAGAGAAACAGAAAAAAAAATAGTGATGTTATAATCTTTCAAAACTTTCTAAATCTACCAATCTTGAGGGGAATTTCTCATAAGCAGATGGATATCATACCAGTTTTCAAATTTAGTAATGAAAAATCAGTTCTCATAGATTTACAGGGACATTCCCAGCCCTTGAAAAACTGAATGTGATATATGTTGAATGTCCCAGTCATCAATCCTGCAAAGTCGGGTTACATTAAAACTGAGTTTTGTTTTGGGGGTGAGGGTGGAAAGAGCTAGTTGTGACCTATTTTGATGTAGTTGCTTCCCTTGTAATGGGTGGGAGCACTGCGCGGACTTTTGCTTTTCCTGCATGTGCTTCCCCAGCTGTGATCCTTGGCTCTTTGTTTTCTGAGTGGCTTCATGAGAAGTGGCTCTGCGTGTGCTGTGCTCAGGCAGCTCAGGGAACACTGGATATTTCCGAGACTCACATTGTGTTCAATGCACAACTGTGAGACAGTCTGATGAATGTGACACATCTTATGATATGGGCTGTGGTAGTTGAGTACTCTGAGGCCCTTGTGTGCTATGCAACATAGTTCAGGAGACCACGTTGCAACTTATAAGCTAGTCCTTTGATTTTATGATAGTTCTACATTTAATAAACAGTACATTCAAGCTAGGAGTCATTGAAATATAGAACAAAGTTTAGAAGAGGTTTTAAAAATGACTACTTATTTCTATTTGGTGTATTTTAACAAATACACAAAGCTAAGGCAAAAATCCAAACTACTCTCCAAAAATACCTCTTTTCAGACTATTATATGCATCAGCAAAATTTAACTTGCATTTATATCAATTGATATTAAAAATAACTATTCATATTTAGTATAGTAAAAATGAGCATTACCTTAGGGCATTCTAATGTAGTGTGGCTTCTTTTTTTAAGAGATTATAAGAACAAGTAGATCTCATACATAAGTCCAGTAGCCTCTACTGTATTATTATACTATGTCTCAAGAGACAATTTTTCTTATTGTACGTGTTGAATGTTCAATGATATAAGAAAATAATAACAAGGGGAATGTGTGCTTTAAGTCTTTTGTATGGAAATTTATTGGAAACAAGGTGGTTAGTTTCTGCACGTCACAGACATTGCTTCCTTGAGAAAAAGCAAGTTGAGGACAGAAAATATGGCTCCTGACAACCCTTTGCTGGGTGTGTGATGCGAGAGGCTGAAAACATATTTCAAATGATTCCTTTACTTTTCATGCTTTTTGACTTATTATTCAGTGATGTATAAGGTTATTACCCCAAAACATTTTTTCTTGAGTTCAGAAAAAAAGTTCATTTTGAATAGTTTTTAATATATTGCAGAGAAGCAAAACCGTAGTGTTAATAATTGTGAGTGAAATGTAAAATGCAAAGAACTATATTTAAAATTCTTTGATGATCTCATAAAAGGTAGCTCTTTAAGTGAGTTAAAAATTCATACCTCCAGCAATACAAATAAAATTAATTACTAAGAACAAATCTGTTAGTAAACAGAAAAATATAGGATTAGTGCTTTTATTATAATTCCTGATGTCTTATCTGAGGATAATGGTGGGTATTGTAGGAATCTCTTTAA